CAACCCAAATGTCCATCCATTGAGGACTGGATAAAAAAATTGTGGTACTTTTATATAATGGAATATTACTCAGCTATAAAGAAAGTTAAACTCAAGGCTTTTATAGGTAAATGGTGACAACTAGAGACCATACTCATAAGTGAAATAAATCAGACCTCCATGTGTAAGCAATGTCACTAGTGTAAGACCTGGAAGAGTGAATAAAAACTAGGAGGTATGAAGGACATTGTGAAATGAAAGGAAAATGCTCAAAAGTAAAGGGCAACTGGGGTGTGAGAAAAGCGAACGAAAAGAAGGGGAAATTACATAAGTATGCATATACAGGATAGCTAACATAGTTGTACTACTGTCTTCTATTGCTTAACTGTAAGGAACAGTTAATGATTACTTGTTTGATCAGTCTTGCATGTCTCTGTTTTCCTGAGAAACCACTTTGAAAATATCAATAAGTAATACAGCAACCATTGTTAATTTCCTACAACTTTGTAACTCTGTATTGTTTGTATGTTTCTTCTGCTGTTTTGTAGATGGATGTCTGTTAATATGTTTTCCTTCTTTTATTTTTAAAATAAATTTTTAAAAAGACAGTAACAAATAATAATAATAATAAACCATTGGAAACGATGCAGCGTTTCGCCATACAAGATGGTAGTAGCTCAACAATGGTTCTTATACTGCATATTGTTTTCAGATCAGTTGTTCTGATTACCAGATACAAGCCTGCAAAATTGGTCAAGAAAAAAAGACAAGTTTAAGCATTACACTGTACCTTTCAATAAACCACAGACATCAGCAATACACCTATCCCAACTATCCTTGTATATACATATAAATTTGGTTTTCATTTTAAAGAGAAAAGAAAAGAAAACTAAAATAACAAAACAAACACATAAACAAAACAGCATAGAGAACAAGAAAAATTATACAGAATTTCAAAAAGTGATAGGATAATCTTTCAGGTAGAGGAAAATGAGTGTGTACAGTAACAACAATAAAAGAACAAAGAAAACTCTGTGTCATTGACAAGCAAGATAATTTAAGAGTGAAAAGAGAGCTGGGAAGTGGAGATTTCTTTCAGGTAGGGACACTGAGGAGCTGACCATGATGTATAAGCAAAGATAAAGAAGAACAACAATCTAAGCAGAGGAAACAGCCTAAAGAGAAGCAAGGAAGACGCAGGGTTTGAATGGGACACATCAAAGGCAAGCACAATTGTTTTGTTGGAGAAATATAGGACTGTGTTATAGATGAGAGACTACAGCTAATGTACACAACACTAGGGACTTGTGCTGGGCCTATTTTAATGGAGGGAAGGGGTTGC